ACTTGAACCAGCAACCTTCCGATCACAGTCCCAACCGACTCAATCACAACCCACCTCCCACATTATGCATATCTATCTGCTTCCATGAACTAGAGCACCTCAAGCCTCCTCCACGTTGGCTTCTCCCTGTGCCAGGTCTGTACCTGACAAATTAAACGTAGGACATTCATGTAAAAAAGCTTCCACTGCATGCTGAGTCAAACACAGACAACCAGATTTGATCTAGTTCAGGATAATACTGACAGAAAGGATCACATTAACTTTACTACTTCATATTACAGCAAAGGTAAGGATTTACTACATCAGCTATGTCGCGGAATTCCCTCGTGAAGCCTTGTTCTGTAATGAACTATGAAGCTAAGTCAATATAAGACTAACCATGCAGACTGATCCTTTATAAGGGAAATGGGGAAGCATTACAAGGATCTTAAAACGAGTTCATTGAGACACATGAGTAATGATTGAGACTTCAGAGGTGTAATCATGCATCCATCTTCTAATCACTTATTCTACTTGGGTTTGCATTCCTGCCAGCAGGGGTTGCTCTTAGACAGGATGCCAGTCAGGATGGGCAATTCAGAGACACCAATTAGCCTAAGTATGCATCTTTGGACAGCATGAAGAAACGAACACCTTAAGGAGACCAGCAAGCTCCTCAAACACAGTCCTGGAGGTGTGAAGTAGAGATGAAACTGCTTGAAAAATTAAAATCATGATTGTAGTGAGCAAAATGATCACGATCATCAGTATTATTACAGTATTGTTGAAATATGCTGAAAGTGTTCAAAAAGTACTGATAGGCAAACTGAAATATTTCCACCAAGATTGATACTGAAAACCACAAATACAATTTGCAGCATTATGCACTTTTTGTTTGTGTAAACATTAAAGTAATAGCACAGCCAATAGCATCCATTAACATATGAAAACCATATCAAATGTGAGTTAGCATGAAAATACTCCAGAGCGCTGTCAAGTTTTCAAAACACGGTAATTCACCAAAATTATAACGATAACTGAAGTTGGAAATGGTAATACCAACTGTTGGGAATTTTACTGTGGTTTACCGTGAAACTAGTAACTATTTCACCCTTAGTGTTTAGCTGTAGTGACATTCAAACTACTGCCCCACTGCTGAGGAATAATCTGTGCGATCGGCAATGTGTCTGAGTGCCTGTGACATAAGAGCGCAGGAAGCTGTTCTTGGCATTTAATTCCTCTCCACTGTGACATTTACGAAAGCTATCTCCTCACCAGGAAATCCAGAGAAACGTTAAAGAAGGGGTTAAGTTTCATCCAACCGCTGCTGTGATGTCATTTCTCTCTAGGAGATAAAAACCAAGATATTGCTGCAAACTTTCTGTCTCTTCTGGGTTCCATTTCCAAATGGTCATTTCCAGTCAATCTGAAATAATATTTCCAAAATTAAGCCCAAAGAAAAACAATATGGTTGGCTTTTAAAATATTAACAGTGCGTGAATTAATCTGGGTGGGGGGTGTTATTGCCTCCCGTCCCTGGGACCAGGGTTTGAGTTTCCGCTACGGCTCTATGTGTGTGGAGTCTGCATGTTCTCCCCGTGTCATTGTGGGGTCTCCTCTGGGTTCTCTGGTTCCCCCTCCCCCCAGTCCAAAAACATACTGAGGTTAATTGGAGTTGCCACATTGCCCATAGGTGTGTGTGTGTGTGTGTGTGTGTGTGTGTGTGTGTGTTTGGCGCCCCATCCTGGGTTATTCTTTTCCTTGCACCTACAGGCTCCAGACCCCTCATGGACAGATGGATGAATTAAACCAGGTCGCACAGCTGACAACAACCCCCAGCTTCTTTTGTGGAATAACCAAAGCAGGTTTTCTGAAGATTGCTGGCTGTGAACGAGGGAGAGGAAAAGAGAAAGAGGAAACATAGAGATTGGAAAGATATAGCAGGTGTGGAGGAAGGAGAAGGAGAAGAGGAGGAGGGTCTCAGCTCTGGAGTAACATCCCATAATATGACTTCAGATCCTCTCCCTTACTCTCAGCTCAGCTAGTAAGAGAAGATGGACAGCCAATCAGCTGATAGAGGATCACATGGTGGGAACGGCGCCCTCACTTCCTGCTCCAGTCCGGCCCATTTACCCGAGAGCAGGAGCCCTTCAGGGCACCGGGGGCTTTACACAAAGGCTGCCAGGAGATATTGAAGGGTTTCACAAAGGATTTTTATATATTGGCCGAAATGACTAGTTTATGAGAGAGCGCTCCTGAAATAGCCACGTCATTTATATTTAAGGCTGGGAGAGCTTACTGCCCCGACGCGGAGTAAATGGGCACTTTTCCGAGGTGGGTGGTGGGTGCTGAGCCCCCACAGCGGGGGGGCTGAACTGGGTGAAAGAGGCCGCCGCTCTGTGTCGTACTAAAAGCGGGAGCATTCAGGCGCCCCCTCCTATTTGACGGATAGACTCCCCAGAGGAGTCGCGCGGGGTCACCGGCCTGGGCACCGCACCGGCTGCCCCCCCATTTCAACACGATAAAAATGAAAGAAAGGGAGGCGTGTTCAAGCGACCCTGCCACAAAACGGCACCGCAATTCTTAACATGCAATGGCCACTATTTACACCAGGATTACACATATAAACATTTGATCATGGAGAGGGGGGGGGCTTTTTCACACCCCTGTTCTCACTATAGTACCCCCCCACCAAAAAGACAAGAAAAAGTGGCAGCAAAGCCCCACAATTTTCCACTCGACTCAACATGTGTGATATCTGGATTGGAAGTGTGACTAGACACTGTAACTGTGTGTGTGTGTGTGTGTGTGTGTGTGTGTGTGTGTCCACAATGTTATTTTTCTTGGTCCCCACAAGGAGAAATTCGGTTTTATAAAAATCTGTCACTGCAGTCAGAAAACTAAAAAAAAATAAAAATACCAAGTTTGGTTACTTATGGTTAAGGTTAGGACTGGGTGGGGCTAAAAGTTGTCATTGTTGAATTAGGGTTTTTCCCATAGAAATGAATGGACGGTCCCCAAAAAGAGGAGTACAGGCCTGTGTGTGTGTGTGTGTGTGTGTGTGTGTGTGTGTGTGTGTGTCTGTTTGCATATTTAGAAATAGCAAATTGTACGTGAACCCAGGAAACATGTCACAAAGATGCATATGCAAATATACACAAAGCAAAAACATAAAGCCTTCTGGCTTCTAGCTGTTGGGCTTTGAGTAAGATGTGCACTGGAGTGTGTGTGTGTGTGTGTGTGTGTGTGTGTGCATGCATGTGAGCATCAAGGACCCCCTTCCTGTCTGGGGACCATGCATGATGTCATAAGGACCACATCAGGCACAGACAACTCCACAGTGCCTCTCAGAGCCGATGCATCGCTGTGAGGGGCGGGGGGGGGATTTAGGGCTGTACCCTCAGGGCTGGATTCAGGCATAGGCAAATCAGGCAGCTGCCTGGGGCCCAATCGACACAAGGGGCCCAGACAAAATCATGAAAAATATATATTATATTCATACATATAATTTAAAAATGAGTCATTACACAAAATAATTTTAAATCCAAAAACATGAAATGTTTTTGTGCAGCCAGAAAAAAGAAACGGCACAACTTCGACAGTGATCTGGATCTATATTCAACTGTATTCTTCTATTCATCTTTGCTAGCTAACCGTGCTTTCGAGTGCTGCCAAAAAAAAAAGAAAAAAACGTGAAGCAGAGGAAAGAAACAACAGAGGAGTGCAAATGGAGAAATTTCTCTCCCCTGTCACTGCGGAAACAAGCAGTGATTAGGCTAACAGTTTGCATTCAACCCTGTCTGCAGAGAGCTCTACAAGCAGAGTCAACATTACCTCAGAAGCTAATGAGGTAGGTGAGCTAATGGTAGAGGTGAGGTTAGAGCAGGCGTCTCTGTACGATGATGACAGGAGGGGGCAAAAAATATTGTCTGCCTAGTGTTCTACGACGACTTAAGCCGGCCTGTCTACCCTTTAACTGCTTCTCTGCAGCCTGGATTAGTTGCAACTATAATGCAGTTTTGTTGAAGGTTCAATTTATGAAGTGTAGAGCAGCAGGAAACACATGTAAGTGTGCACTGTTGTACACAGTCACTGGTAAACTGCCGAGCTCTCGAAAACATTTGGGGTGTCTGATGTCCGTCAGCAGTTATGTGAATATGTCAGTCTTGTCAGAGAAAGAAAGCTGCTTCACATGCAGGCTGTCTGTGACCTTTTAACTTGCGTCTCCCCGCATTGTCATTGAAATGAGACGTCATGATTGCTTTCCCTGTTGACCGAAATTTCATCCAAAAACATTTACATTTCCTATCCTACCCTCAGACTGCAGTCACTAAAGTTTAGTGAAACACTGCCCTCTCCTGGGTACACAGCAGCCATTTTATTAGGTAATTGTTTTATCCTCAGAACCGCTTCTAGGATAGATGAGCTGTGTATTCAGAAAATCCATCCCGCACACTGCTGTTGACTGAGTTCTTATTTTTGCCATTGTGACCTTCCCGTTAGCTTTAATGAGTCTGGCCATTCTCTCCTGACCTCCCTCATTAACAAGGTTTTTCCACAGCATTTCCTGTGACCTATAGACACTACTGATGACAGTCCCAAGAAGGGTCTGCTGGAGACAACATATATATGTAAATTGCAACACTATGCACCTTTTAGTTTTTATGATACTTTTGGAATACTGAAATCCCAACCTTGTTCTAAGATATGTTCTGGTGAACCGCTAGAGATTTTGGGCTCCATGAACACATACCGTATCACATCAAATTGGACCCTCAAAGCCAGATCAATCTAGTTATGTTCCAAATTTATTACGGCCCATGTCATTTTATATTATATATACCCACACACACACGGCCTCTGTCATTATACACATACAGACACTTGCTACAGCATACTCTCAAGAACCACCCATGATACCTCCCGCAGCCACAGATGCTGGGACATGTGCGTTTCAGCGTGTTGATTTTCTCCGTACTCCAAGTCGCTAGGTGGCAGTATGTTAACGACATTCAACAGGATAAAACGAATAGAACTAAGATCGATTGCTCAGGTCTTGAGTGTATTTAGCGCCATTGAGCTGCTCGTGCGGCGTGTTTGTGTTTTTAAATCGTGACGGATTGCTTATACTACAGAGACATGGAAAGTAAGTTCAGCGAGTGGATATTCTATGCGAATTTGCATTTCCCGGTTGCAAGATGTTTAAGAACGGGGGCAGTGGAAACATGTCTTTGATTTAAAGCTGATGCAGAGATCCCGCTTAGCATCCACCAGGACCTGCTAAATCATTGCAGCTGTAAATGTCTTGGATGTATCTTTTCATAAGCGAAGTATTAGGTCGCACATAACTCACTTTGATTAAACACTCGAAGCAGAAATTGATTTGGTCTATCTTCTTATTAGCTGTATGTTTTTGTCTTTGCAGAAAATGTTCATTCAAAGTTACCTCAAGATCTGGGTAAACTTCTTGGAGTGCAGGTGAACCATTTTGTGCTTTTATGAATTCCTGTTATTTGCAAAGCTGTGGATTATAAAGATGGCAATTTAGAAGCACGTAAGTGTTTCCTTAATGCTAGATTTGTCCAAACTCCCTAAGTGCCGTATATAAGTAGGGACGCAATCGGAAATGTTTTAGCCCCTTTAAATCCCTGCCATCGCCTTGCATTTAGCTTCGTTTGTCGAACTTGCGTTGTTTCTTTCATTTTCAAACTTCAGTTTAAGATATGGTGTCTACGACATTATGTAAGATGTCCGTTTTATTAACCGATTCGGTGCTGAAAGCGGGGAAGATTTGTCTTTTAGTAATGCCATTAAAACTTACAAAGTCTCAGGATGAGAGAAATGCAGAAGCTTTCACCAGCACCTTCCTGAAGAAGAGCCTGCCGAGCATGGGGCCCGAGGCCATCCAGCAGGCTCTGCTGCACAAGGCGGTGGTGCTGGAGTACCAGCACAAGCGGACGGGGACGGGGACGCGGAAGCGGGCGCGGGCGCGGGGCCTGGCGGCCAGGCAGCGGAGAGAACTCAGCCTGTTTCAGCTCAAGCCGGAGCACCAGAAGTTTGTCAACCTCTTTTACTAATTAGTCTTTTGTGCGATTGAAATGGCAGTCGTCGTTTTTTTCCCCCTTTTGCTTGTATATGGAAATACATTGTTGCTGAAACCAAGCAGTGCAGAAATTTGGCTATAGTGGTATTCGGTTGAATCTTAGGTGGATTTTTACATTAAGTGCTCCCTGATGTTTACCTGACAAGGCAGAGATACTGCTGAAGTACAAATCGGGAACAAATACATCGCTACTGAAGATGAAAGATGCATCATGAGTCATTAATGATGAACAAATGAGATCAGTATTTAACTTGCTCCTTCAGTAGTTAACAAAGGTTTACACAATTATCTGATATAGTAACTAGTAATTACTTGAGGTAAAAGATTCATTAATGACGAATTAACATGAGATCAGAATTTATCTAAGACATAGTTTGTGGTTAATACATAAGTATGGGTATATTATTTGTGCCCTGTCAAGTAAAGCGTTACCATTTTATATTTCTTAACAGGTATGAGCTCTTTGTACCTTTACATGAGCTCTGGAAGCAGTACATCCGTGATCTGTGCAATGGGTTAAAACCAGAAAGGTAATGTGAGGTTTTATTGAGAAAAATACGTTTTTAAAGTAAAATGCTTAAGTTTCACAGTTTTTTTTCCCAGCTATATATTATTCCGTGACCTTGTGCTTATATGCTGTTGAATTATTAGCATAAATGCACATCCTCATCCTGACTCCCCAAATGTCTTTCAGTAACCCTCAGATGATCCAGACCAAGCTTCTAAAGGCAGATTTCCATGGCGCCATTATATCAGGTAGGAAAGACATTTTGGTTCACAATGTGTTTTCAGTTCTTCTCATAATCAGAATCTCCGCAGCACCGGGATGGTGGAAATAATCGTGGTTCTTTTTAAAACTCTTATTGGGACTGCTGTTGTTGTAGTGGTGCGGTCCAAATGTCCATCGTACGTGGGGGCCACTGGGATCCTGGTGCAAGAACTGAAGCATGTGTTTAAAATAATTACCAAGGAAGACAAACTAAAAGGTAGGTTGGGGGGAGCTGCTACTGGATAGAGTGCCAGGAACGGGGGGGGGGGGGGGTCTTCACATGGCACCTATGAATAAAATACAGTGGAGATCAAGGTTGGAGGACAATATATGAACACTTGATTTTCCTGAAATATTAACATTGCTCGAGATTTGAAGGAGTATTCGCTGTGGGTATATCATTGTTCTACTAGCATGTTTTACAAAGTAATCAAGGCACTTCAACAATAAACCTTTGTCTTGCATGCAGTGATCAAAATTAGAGAACAATAACCGTTGTAGCCGAAAAGATCGCAATTCAAATTTTGAGAGGGTTACAGCCTTTATTAATTCCTTGTTTTTAATGACTTCAGCTCATTTACGCCAGCAGGACGTCACTAGTTTCTCACACTGCTCTGGTTTGATCTTGTCCCATTCTTCTTCCAGTCCCTGCTGCACTTTGGTCACTGTCGTGGGGTTCTTAGTCATAACTTTGTTGTCACAGATTTTCCAAAGATTCTCGATCACATTTAGATCTGGACTCTGGGCGGGCCATTTCGTTATTTCAATGTTGTTAACGTCCAGGAACTGCTTTACCCATTGTGCAGTGTGACGGGGGTGTTGTCTTGCATGAATATTGCAGGCGAATTAGGAGATGCTCGCTGTGAAGGAATCGCATGTTGCTGCAGGATGCAGGAGGTTCTAATAAACATTTGCAGTCAGCATGTTACAGGCCCAGCTCCTGCTGCAGAAGACGTCCCCCAAACCATGATGCTTCCTCCTCCAAATTCAGCTGGCTTCTTTACGTACTTTGGGTCTCTCCCTAGATTGATGTGCATAATGTTTCTCATCAGACCCAAATAAATTAAACTTGCTCTCATCACTAAATGAATGCTGGACAAATTGTCCACTGTCCGCACAACATGCTCCTCAGCAAAGCTTAGTCCAGCATTTTGATTCTTTCTTCTGAGGAGAGGCTTGTTCACTGCAGAGTGCACTTTCAAATCGTCTTAAACGGTGAGAAGCTGTATGCCAAAACAGATGCTTCACCGTATTCAGTGTTAAACTGACGAGCAATTCCAGCACAAGACTGATCCCCGATAGTGAATCTCCACATTATCCTGTGCTGTTGTGCAAGGGCGTAACTTTGGTGTGAACATTGGGTGGGTTTGCCGTCTCCACCCACTTAGGGGGAGACATGATTATTGTGGGGGTTGTATTAGCCGGTTATGATTATTGGGGGGGGTTACAACAACCCATGCCCCCCCCCCCCTGTAATTTATGCCCATGCTCTCCTGCATTTGTCTAACATGGATAATCTGCATTTTTGGTGGACTGAAACGAATTGGTGTCGTTGTACAGCTGCAATATTCTACAAATCTCAGCTTTGAAACAACCAGCTTCTCTTGCAGTGGCTGAAAGGGTTAATCCCTTTGGACCTGCTGTCGCAGCCTTCCGGTCACCCTAGAGCGACTCTCAACCGTGCAGAGTGGTTGAGTGCCACCAGTTAAATAGGGCTTGTTATAATTAGCACCAGGTGCCAAATTAACACCAATAACTGGGAGGTTTCTGAGAGTGTTTTCTAATTTAGATCAGGATTCTTCAAAATTCTCATTTAAGTGTTTTTATATTGTGTTTCACAATATATTTAAATTATGAAATATGCTTACAAATCTGGCCTTTTCCAGTTGGGGTAACTTCAAATGGGTACAAGCAATGATGTCAAATTAGGAAATTGTCGGTTCTCTAATTTTGACCTCCACTGTATCATTGCGAATAGTGCATGTCGAAAACTTTTGAATGATGACTTCATCCTGTGGCCCCTCCTTCAGTGGTCACTTAATTACCCAGAATGCACTAGTTTCTTGCACGCAAAACACCATCTTCCTGCGCACACACAGATGTTTCATGTGGGGGGGGATTTCAAGCTGAAATCTGCGAAGCCCATTGTATGTCTGTCTGTTCCACAGTCATCCCTAAGCGCAACAGCGTCTTCAGTGTGGAGGTCGATGGCTTTGTGTCCCACATCTACGGGACCAAGTTTCAGCTGAGGTCCAGTGAGCGCTCAGCCAAGAAGTTTAAAGCCAAAGGAACGATTGACCTCTAGTTGTGTTTGTGTGAAAGAGAAACTTTTGTTTTTTTTTTTATAAGGATTGTAGGTTCATTCCTTTGTGCTGTCATTCTCCAGACTTTTGTCCTTATTTTCAATTCCAGTCTTTGTGAAGATGACAGCCAGAGATGACTAGTCTTTTTGAAACACGTACAAAGTTTTGTGAATATCCCTAACTTATTTTGAGTGACTTTGTAAATATGTACTGTCACGTTTTATGTTTTGGATTGTAAGCTTTCCTTTCAATCGTTTGATAGGAAGCTGCAGTAAGAATTGCATCCACAAGGGGGCGGGTAAAACGGCAGTATCAGCCAGGCATTGGTTTTTTTTTTTTTTTTGGGGAGCCAAGTACGACCCAGTAAAACTTGATCTGTGAGTATGCAGCTGTACCATTGGTGTGTTTCATTTTCATAAAGGAATTGACGTACATGTTTATACGAGTCT